CATAAAAGCCGACTCAACTATGTCTTTGAACGCTCCGACATTGAATAAAGAAGCCAAACTTATTTGACTGCATCTCTATTATCATATTTTACTATATTAAGATATTTATTTTAAAATATTTTGAATCTAATTTGAATGTTAATTTTCATTAAAGAACTATTGAGCTTTTGCAGTCTAAAATCATTATCTCCTTTCTGTTTTTTACACTTTCACGGCCAAAACACTGAACCGATTTCGAATTGGAGTAATTTTGAATCTTTTTTTAAAAAATATGTCTTTCTATGCCTCCGCGATAACCTACATTTATGCGAACGAAATCGCGGGCAAATAGTTAGAAAGAAAAGTATCATTTGTAAATTTAATTATAAACAATGTTAGCAATATTTTGATACAAGTTTGAGATTTAGCTCTATATTTTTTTCTGCTCAATTGGATTGGAAATTGCAATTCCAGAATTTGAGATTTATAATAATGTAAACAAGATATAATGTAGGTGATAATACCTACTTTTTATATTAATACTACATGAATTTTTTTCTATATCTTTATCTAAATACAATAAACATTTTACTTACTTGAAGATTCAACTCCACGGCAATTTGAGATATATTCAATCCTTGTCCATGTAAAATAATAATTTGGTTCCTTTCTTCCTGATTAAGGTTTCGGGTCGACATGGTTACCGAACAAATTACAGGTCAAAATATACACAATACACACACAGTCCAGGATACAAGCTAGGGTCAAAAAGAGGCTTTTGATCACAGTCCGGTATAAAAGCACAGGTCACAGTTGGGTAGGCAAACAGTCCGATAGAAATAAACAGGTCGTAAGAAAAATTGCGATGGGCCGAACGGGAAGCGTGAACAATAAGCGATATGCAAATTGGCACTGGCATGTTTGTTATAATTTTTTGCTACGCACGTGCACCCTGCACTCACACAAATACACGTTGTCTCTGATTGGGCGGAACAAAGAAGGGGCGTAGTCAGCTACTAGTTGCGCTTCCGCAGGAATATTTTCTTAAGTGAGCATGCTTATCTTTTGCCCATAGTACATAATGGTAAATTTATGCTTTTGAAAACTCTGCTTTTTTTTGTTGTTCTGTAAACCATGTGTGATTTAGAACTAGGCAGGCTTTTGGCTTGAAAATAAAGGTATTTTATTGCAATTAACTTGTAAATTACCTAACTCATTTTTCAATGTTATAAATATAATATTATTTTATTTCTTTAATTATTAATAAGCTAATAATACATTTAGACCGATGTGTTTAAATATATCGGAAAAATATTTTAAATATTTTAGAGATCAAACCTTATCAATATCGGTTCGGCAGTTTCTGCTATGGTTGTTATACGACTACATTAGGAATACCATGTCAATTTACTGCATAATTTACAATAATGTTCTATAATATTGGTATCGGTATCGCCAAACTAGAATGTCGAATAATAAATGAGAAAATGTTACTAACACACACACACACACACACACACACACACACGTGTTCCTAATAACTAATCTGTTCGGTAGTAAGTACTTATTTCATTATACAAAAAGAATTCACAAAGGATTTTCTATTAAAAATTATAGAAAAAAATTTATAAAAACTTTCAAAGCAAAAGAGGAATTTAGGGGACACCCGGGTTTGAACCGGGGACCTCTCGATCTGCAGTCGAATGCTCTACCACTGAGCTATATCCCCGATGATTACACGTTTCAAATAGGGTTAGTTATCTTACATTAATGTTTTATTATGAATCATACAAATAAATTGTTTTAGGTCAACTCCTACACCATACAATAATATAACGCCCACAAAGTCATAAAATTATTAAAAATATTCTTATCAGCTCATCATACTACTCGAAAAACAAAAACATTTAAGAGATTTTCAACTCTATGTCACAATGATAAGATTGCAAATCTTTTAACAGATTAGGATAGCATGATTTGCTTGCCGAACCTCATTTCTATGTAAATATTGAAGTTGAATGTTTTTTTTTTATTGTTTTATCTGTAAAATAATTTGGGTTACAGATTAGATATCGAGACTAAATTCATACAAACAGAAATGATCAAAACAAATTGCATCAGATCACTGCAGCAGGTCTAGGTACCTATCTAAGTAGGTAGGTACACATTTAGACATTGCTAGAATATGTATGAAATGAGAGGCAAATTAAATATTTAAGTAATTTGGGTCATTTGTTAAAAGGCTAGAAACAGCACTTTTGATTGACTTCTTGGGCTAGCTCAAGATGAGAAGAAAAGATATATGTATAGTGTATACATGATTTTTAGTATGTATACTACATTAAAATGTATATACTGCAGACTGGATGTATCCTAGAGTAGAGAAATGGTAATAATTGAATACAAGTTGTAATAAATAAACTCAAAAAATATTGCATCAATTTTAAAAATTCTGTCCCCTTAGATAGATACATTGTCCCGCATTATGTTAGCTATATTTAAGTATTAAAAATAAATGTTACTACAAACAATAATAAAATACAAAATAAATAATTATCACGACTTTGTTTGTCTTAGACGGTGTCAGTTAAGCTAAGCTTAATTCGTTAAACTTGTGAAAGACATTATTAATCTATTAACTTATACTTTCAAAAATATATTAAACATTCAAACATTTATTTCAGTGACCAATTACTCCCTATGATAACAAATATTTGCATTCAAAAACATTTCAGACAGTAACTTGTTTTTATTATAATATAAACATTAAAGAAGCTTATATTGAAAAATTCTTGCTAATAATCACTAGTGAATCATTATCTCAAATTTCCCTGCAGTTGGCTGTATGACAAGTATTGACAAGTATGATAACGAAATCAATATCTACAAATACCAACAGTTTACAATCTGAGTGATATTAATTCCATGTGATAATCAGGTAATTATAATAGACAAGCCACCATACCCCGCTTCGCATGGGATAACTACATTATTAAATTTTAAAAAAAGATCTTTCTTAACCAGGAATATATCATATTCTGTTATTTAGGGTGAATATAGCTTGGGGCGGGGGGAGGGGGGATAGTCAGTAGGAGTCATACACTCTCACGTCTAACCGTGGGCTGGAGAAGTAATTTGATGATTTTCCCCTGACAAAAAAAGGTGAATATAGCTTTCTAATGATGAAGGAATTATTAGAATCGGCACAGCTGTTTTTGAGTTAATTCATTACAAACATACACACAAAATATAACTTTTTATGTGTAAAATTGATATAGATAAAATAACTCATTATAGAGGTTTAAACGCTATAAATTATATCTTAATCTTTTTGTAATTCTTCAATAATGATTACTCATACTTATAATACAGAATTGGTATAATTAATTTAGATTGTAACAGATAAGTAATTTGGTATTTTATGTTGTTTTATGTGCTTAAATGAGGCTGAATATATGATGAAATATTATCAATACCTAACAATTTATTTGACAAGTAGGTTGATGTATCTAAGTAAAACCTTTTTTCTGTAATTGACCCTGTTGAATTCATAGACTACCCATCCTGGTCCCTTAAACGATGTATGCTATGCTCCTATATCCAAACTAATAATATAAAAATGCGAAAGTAACTCTGTCTGCCGGTCTGTCTTTTCTTTACGCCTAAACTACTAAACAACATAGTTTGGAACTCGAGAAAGGACTTAGGATAGTTTCTATATTCCACACGAACTATGTCGCGGGCAAAAGCTATTTAAAGAAATATGACTTGAAAATGAATTCAGATAATTAGGTGCTCGATACCTTTTTAATTAAACTATTGTTGTTTTAGTGCTGCCTATGGAATCGCCAGACGACTTCAAGTGCGTTGCCGCCCAATTATTTTGAGTCTAATATCATGATACGTGTATCAAAAAATAGTAGTTTACTTGTTGACATTAACATCCAAATATTTCAAAACAGACATACAAGCGCATATCGATTGGTTTCGAGTTAATAAAAAAAAAGCAAAAAGATAGCCGCCCCCGGGTGGGCTCGAACCACCAACCTTTCGGTTAACAGCCGAACGCGCTAGCCAATTGCGCCACGGAGGCCTTGAATGTGATGGCGAAATAGTCAAATGCGTGCCGTAAGCAAAGATTTGGCAAAATATCAGACTTTAATGACATCGGTAGCATGTCTAACCATAACAAAGTAGCACAACAAAAGAAATTCAAAGCACATAGATAAAATTAATTACACCCAAAGGTTGCCTGTAAGAAATCACCTTGTTAGTTGTACGATAAGACTTTCGATTATACATAATAATATTGTTACGCACTTAAATATTGTGAGATAATGAGACAGTAACTATTTTTCAAAACACAAATAAAATATTTTTTTAAATATATTATAGTTCTATATTTTGTTGGATTTTCTTTTTACACAACTTATTCTTTACATTATTAATGTTGATAGAAAAATATAGTTATAATTCACTACAGTAGGGTCATTATTTACTCAGGAATTAATCTTTTTCAGCTCTTTGGAAAAAACCTGTGGAAAAAACTTATCCATCCGTTCGGGTATTGTTTTGTAGCCATGATTTGTATGTTTAACGCCATCTATCACCGATAGGGAGAACTAGCTATGAATGTTACCAATGACTTGGTGTAGATTTGTAGCTTTGATTTGAACACTGGATTCATGCTTTCCATAGATTTGGTAAAAGCTAACAACCTCTTTTCATGTTTTCTTTTAATTTTAGTCTAAGGGACATTGTTAAGAAAAAGCATAATTTAAAAAAAAAAATTAAAAGCTTCATAAATTAAAATAGATTGATATATTTACAAATGTTAACTCATTTGTAAATATATCAATCTATTTTAATTATTATATATTTAATTTTTATATAAGTAAGAATAAATCTAATTTTTTTATACATTTTTTTTAATGGATCAGCAAACAGTTATATTATGAAAATTAATAAATTAGAATAACAATTGAGTATTATTTAGCAGATAAGTATAATGTCATCCTTACCACCATCCAAACAGGGAAACAAAATTATTATTAATCTTTAATTTTGTTATGAGACAAAATCTTAAATTAATAATAATACGATCCTCCAAACGGCAAAAGCCTCTTATGTTAATACATATACATAGTATAATGGCATGTAGTTAAAAAAATTCATTCAATGTTCAAAGTTATCTTGCACATATATTTTAACTATCCAGACATTGTAAAACAAACAATAAATCACAGTGGAAATAAATTCTTTTTTCTTTTTACATTGTTTTACATTTTTTTATTTTATAAACGAATAATGAGTAAATTAATAGTAACTCATGAATCAAACTCATTCATCAGGCTTAAAATTGATTAATAACAAAAATGAAACAACATAATATATCAAGTAAGTAGGTAGTGTATAAGTAAATATTGAGTAGGTAGTATGATTATTTTGTTATATGAACATGTATTTCAGCTCATCTGTCATCTCCCGTATGGTCTAGTGGCTAGGATACCTGGCTTTCACCCAGGAGGCTCGGGTTCGATTCCCGGTACGGGAAAACCTTTTTGCAACTTCAACATCAGTTTTTGTTCAATACTTTGATTTCAGTCATCAATTTCATCAAAAAATATCTTATAACGATATTTTATTGTCTGATACGTTTTCCAAGTAACATTTTGCAGTTTCTTTATTACTAAGTTTATTTTGAAAATATTCAGTAGTAGTATTATCCAAAAAGAAACACAGTATTACTATCTCGGTTAGTTTTTTCGTATAAAATGTAGTTAACACATAAATAAAATAAAAATGCACTAAATAATCTCAAAAAGTTTTGTCAGAAGTGGGATTCGAACCCACGCCCTCAGAGAGGACCAGAACAACTCGGAACTCACGTTTAGTGAGCAAGGAAACCTTGAGTCTGGCGCCTTAGACCGCTCGGCCATCCTGACAGATGGTGAGGTGAGCGAAATAGTGTATTACGTTCATAGCAAATAAAAGGTTTCACTTTTAATTAATATTTTTCGCTTTTCATAAAACATTGTTAAAATAATCTAGTGATATATCTATTTTATATGTATAACGTTAAAATTTACAAGTTTCGGATGGTATTTAGAAAAACAGCTTCTTTTTTTAATAACCTTACGAAGAATGGTATATATTTAGGATAAAAATATAGTACATTTATACATATTATAACTAGTTTTTCATATTACTTTTATATTAATTTCTGAGACAGTAAAAACACCACTTGTGTGTTATTAAAAACTTCGATGATGCACACCATCTATCGGTGAGTAGCTAAGGTATTTCAGATAATTGGATGGCAAAACTATTTTAGCTATTCGCCAGTAGATGGCGCGGATACACCGAAATCGTGTTGATTTGATACCTAATTCTTTTGTAAGTGTATGTAGTGCCCACAATTTTATCAATCAAATCGATTTTAGATGTCGTGCAGGAACGTTCAGAAGGAAACGTTAATTTACTTACTCAAGATCCAGAAAGTATCCTCATGGCCGACTGTAGGTACAGTAGTAAACAAATTTTTTCCAGATTTGCGCGAACACAATAGGTATATAATGAAAAACTTGTAACTTCACCATATTTCGATGTTTTCTACAATAATTCACAATCTGGTTAGACTTTCCTTTATGGACCGTCGATTTTGGGGTCAAAATGGGGGGAGGGGGGAGGGGGAGGGTGAGGACTACCCCCCAGGCCAATCCCCACCCCGCGGAGCCCTATGGTTACGGAGATATCCATGGTCAAAGTTTGTTAAAATTTTGAGGTTAGGAAAGATTTTTCGGATAGTTTGTATGTATGTATGTATAACTTTAGAATCGTACCGCAGTGGGGAGGATGCCCCCTTCCCCCAGTACCACTCCCATGACAAGGCAACTCACAGTTGCCGAGAAATACGATTTTTTATAACCTTACCTCAAAACACTAAAAGTCACTTAATAGGCAAAGTCTACGCGGGCTCCTACTTCTGGGTGGTTTGCAACATGCAGCAGGCATGGCTTCTGTCACGGCTCCGGCGCTGCGGGGCTCCGGCGGTCCCACGCGAGCTAATCGTCGCAGATGGTTTTACGCCCATCACCGCGGCTTCGGCTTGCTGGCCGGCTTCGCCGGCCAGCCTCAGCCACGGCGATGTGCGTTATAACCACCTGCTCCTCAGCTCGCGGGCCGCCCCGCCCCTCCGCGCCTTCGCGATTTTAAAAAACACTCTCGGGTTGGGCAGAAAAGAGACCACGTAAAGTCGGTTTCGCAGCAATTCATTTCTGTCACTAACTTTTGTAGCACATTAAAAACATTATGCCAAAAGACAATGTATTAATTATTTCAATATAACCTATATTCAATAGGAAAACTCCAAAAAAAAAAAAAAAAGAAGTCAACAACACGCGAAACGTCAAATTTGGCGTGAATTTTTCAATAGACTTTACAATTTTTAAATAATTATATCTCGTAAACCGTGAGTTTCCGCAACATAAAAATTTGTAAAAAGCCTTCTGTTAATGTGTACTATCTACAAAAAAAAATGAACGCTCAACTCGACGGTCCATAAAGGAAAGTCTAGCCCACAATCTGAACGATTTTAGACACAGAAAAAAAAAGAAGAAAACAGCTTTCATCCCACGATTCAAAACTCAACTCCAATGAAAATATGACCAATGACGTATTATTTTTTATACATCATTCGTCGTTTTATACATCATTGAATATGACAGTGTTGCCAAAATGTCACATTCATTTTACCGGTTTGATATTTAATGTACTTAAACAAAAACGTAATATATTATACATTATAAAATTATACATTGTAAATTTTATTTTTTATTACATTACTGATAATAGTTGTCTAAATTATTTTTTAAAATTTTCAATTAATATAAAACTACTAAACGATATTTTAGCAAAACATGATTTGTTTTTGTTTCTGTTGGTAAATAATCGATTGGGATTACGACTTTTCTGGCCTCTAGGTATCTACTTACGTAGGTAAGTCACAGTATACTTGAATGATGATTAAACCTTGTTCCTTAGACCATAGAAATTTAATTCCTTTATGTCATAAACCCTGGAAGATACCCCGGGCGAAAATAGTGTGGCGCCCACTTGAGGGAAGCTATATCAAGTGTTAGTTTTTTGCTGATCGTATTGATATTGTTACAGTCACTCCTCGACCACAAACCTTCAAAAAATCCATACGCACAGAGCGTATAGCACAGTTCTGAGGGTTTGCACCAGGTGATTGCCTCACCTTGGCGACCTTGGCGCCCCTCAGAATTTGTCACCCTGGGCCATCGCCCCATCACGCCCCCCCCCCCCTCCGCAGTCAGTGGTAAAACTAAAAATTGCCACGACCATAATGTGTGCTACTTGTTGTCTTAACAAACTTTGTGTAGGTTCCTTTTTTTGATGGGGGAAAACCATGAAATGACTTCTCTCGCTTCGGGTATGGCAAGGGCTGGGCAAGTCGCTGTCGGTGCCTTACTGCGCTTGCCTCGTAACCCCGGTTGAACATCGGCCCTGATGGGCCCCGTCTACTTAACGGATAATTTTGTTTTCTAATAAGGCTTCATTAAGTTAAAGTAATAAGATAAAAATTACGTCGAATTAAGTAAGACATTCTGTCAACCGAAATGTTCAATTTTGGAATCGGTACTTGCTGCACCGCGGCACCTGTTTTATGTTCTGTGGTGTAGGTTAACCTAAACACGGCCCAGAATCGCGGTGCAGCTAGTCTATTATTTTGAAGTCGTAGTTATATTTTTCTTCTTTTATTTGAAATAAAATGTTCTATGGGTAGGTAAACACATACGTTATAATTTACCCCACCAAAATAAAAATAGCTCTATTATCGCAGTGCATTACCAATATTTATACTGTGGCATTACCGTTATACTACTATAACTTTCAGAAATTAATTTATATTGAGGGTTCAACATATCACAATCTTACGACGAAAGTCGTAGTCGGAACCTACTTTAGGAAGGAAGACATGTTTAAAAGAAGTTACTTTATCGTTATTTTATACTTTATCGTTTTGTAATAATGTTTGAAATCTGTTAAAAGGGTAAGATTTAAGATTTTTTTTTGTAGCAGTGAAATTTTCATTTACAAGGAAACATTTTCATAAATTGTTGTTAAGTGACAGTAAAAATGGAAACAAAATTGAAACTGTATATAATTTTTATTTCTCTGAGCCAACATAAGTACAAGTGCACAATAATATGATTTCTTTGACACTTGACAAATAAAAATATATAATACAAAAGTTTAATAAATCTTTTATTTCTCATCGGGGGGAAAATCATCCACCAATTTCTCTCACACTGAGTAAGATCACTCGGACTTTGTAAGATAGACTAACTATATATATTGACTAACTGACTTGTGGAGAAAAACAATTATGAAAATGAATAATGACTACATAATCAATCTATAAGATGCCCACTGCTGAGCAAAGGCCTGTTTGCATAACTCGTTGAGAAGACATGATAAATTTTTAATTTACTTTGAGTGTATGTAATAGGTTATACTATTACTTAGAAGTTACAAAATTATAAATATCATTAATTATAATTTAGTAATTGTCAAGTTTTAGAACATTTGTACTCACTGCACTCACCGCATCCAGCATAACTATTACTTAAAAAATATTCAAAGTAGTCATCACACAGTATCCTGTGAAATTCAGACAAAACTTTACATGGATTTTATATCAGGACTGATTTTTTTTTTACTTTAATAGTTCAATAACATCAAATACATGCTGTATGTATAGTGCTAATTTCATAATTTATTTACATGGAATGGCTGAAAATTCACAAATAAGAATATATCATTTGTCTCTAGAGCTATTCAAACTACCTTATTGTTACAAAACTATTTTTATAACATTCCACCAATGATAATTATATTATACAAACTCATCTTTTCTATTTCCACATAATAAAAAATGTATCTACATCTATCCCATAAATATTTATAAATCTTTTTCTTTTTACATTCAAGCCTGTGCAATTTGTTCTTGATAGTAACAAAACTAAATGCTAAAAATAGCTTACTAACTAATATAATGCAAGTGAGTGTTACTTTAGAGCAAATATTTCAGTAAACACACACTCTTAATTTTAATTAATATAAAATAACCCTTTAAAAATAAATCATGATAAAATCAATTTTGTTTGCAAGTTTACAAATTGTTTCATTTATTGTATTTCTAAGCATCAGAGTTATGGCCCTTAATGGATAGGTAACAACAGCCTTGTTGCATTTTCAATTGTTTTTGAGTGGAATTTCATCATGCAACTACTCCTCTAGGTGCGGTGAGAGCTGTGTCCTCCTGGGCCGGGCCAAGGCTGCCGTCAATAGCATAGTTGCAGTAAGTACGCTCTAGACACTTTTGAGAAAAACGCGGTTAAAGTTTTGGCTCGAAAATCTTCCATAAATCCTTTGTTTGTAATCAGATCATGATGGTTGATACCTTAAATGGAAGAGGAGCTCAGCCTCTATCTATTTCTTATTTAGACACGATTCACTGAGTTATTGAAAGACCAAATAAATTAATCATTGTTGTTATACTAAGTATTTCTTAGACGCTCTCTGATAAGGAACACTTAGCATAAACACAGCAAGTGTGTTATTTACTGTATTTATGCTAAGTAATCATACGAATTTATGTTTAAATATAATATGGTTCAAAAGTTTTATTATATCAGGCTGGTGATAATAAAACAATTAGTGAAAAAATGTATTTAAAAATAATCAACTAGCGGGAGGCCTGCCCACACTACGTTTTCCGGTCCTTGGTCGCCACTCTAGGACTTTTCGGGCCCATCAACCGTCCGTCTTTCGAGCGACGTGGCCTGCCCATTGCCACTTTAGCCTGCAGATTTATATTTTTTGCGAGCTATGTCCGTGACTTTAGTTCTTTGGCGAATTTCCACATTTCGGATTTTGTCGCGCAAAGAGACCCCGAGCATAGCCCGCTCCATCGCGCGCTGAGTTTTGCAAGAAGGCCAGAAGTTAAGGACCACGTCTCAGTACTATACGTCATCACCGGCAACACACACTGGTTAAACATCCTGGTCTTCAGGTACTGTGGGATTTTCGATGAGAAGACATCGTGTAACTTCCCGAACGCCGCCCATCCGAGTTGGATTCTTCGGGCGATCTCTTTCTCGAAGTTGACCTACCTAGCTGAATGATCTGACCAAGGTATGTGTAATGGTCAACAACTTCAAGGATGTCGTTCCCAATGATGACCGGTACAGGTGCAACATGGACATTAGACATTATTTTCGTCTTGTCTATGTTCATTTTCAGAACCACCTGTTGGGAAACGACATCAAGGTCGATGAGCATGGTGTTCAGGTCCTCCAACGACTCTGCCAAAACGACTTTAACATCGGCGAAGCGCAGGTGAGTTATGTATTAGCCATTAATATTGATGCCAAAGCCAGTCCAGTTCAAGAGCTTGAAAACGTCCTCCAATGCGTTCGTGAACAGTTTCGGAAAAATCACGTCTCCCTGCCTCACGCCTTTCTGCAATTGGATTGGTTTTGTGCAGTCGTCCTGGAGCCGAATGAGCATGGTGGCGTTTCTGTACAAACACCTAAGCACGTCGACGTATCTACAGTCGACATGGCATCGCTGGAGAGACTGCAGCACTGCCCAGGTTTCGATCAAATCGAAGGCTTTCTCATAGTCCACAAACGCTAGACACAATGGCTGATTATACTCCTCCGTCTTTTGTACTATCTGGCGAAGCGTGTGTATATTGTGGTCTATGGTGCTAAAGCCTTTCCGGAACCCGGCTTGTTCGGGAGGCTGGAAGTCATCGAGCCTACGATCGAGATGGTTCGTGATGACCCTCGAGAACAGCTTGTACACATGACTCAGAAGTGAAATAGGTCCGTAGTTTTTCAACAAAGTGCTGTCTCCCTTTTTGAAGAACAGAACTACAACACTTCTTTGCCATGATTCGGGCGTACTACCTTCGAGTATGACGGAATTAAATAACTTTTGGAGGACTAAAAGTATCAGTTTCCCACCCGCTCGCAGAAGTTCTGTTGTGATTCCGTCATCGCCCGGTGCCTTGTTGTTTTTAAGCTGCTTGTGAGCCATCCTAATCTCGTACAGGCTGATGTCTGGGATATCCTCAGTATAGTGTCGTGTCAGCTTAGCTCTTGGGTCCCGAGCTGCACCGACAATGGATTGTCGTGTTGAGGTATACAACTGTCCGTAGAACCTCTCAAGTTCTCTCAGAATCTCCGATTTCGATGAAATGATGCTACCATTACCGGTCTTCAGCCTCGTTATTTCGTTATTTGGCTTTTCCCAATAGACGATTTTTTTGCGAAGACTTTTGTGCCCTGGTTTCTCTCGATGGCCTCCTTAATTTGAGCAGTATTATATGCACGCAAATCGCGTCGCATGGCTTTTGAAATTCGCCTATTGAGGTTACCGTACTCTGACATATCGGAGCTTTTAATTCGGAGCTTTTGAGGCTTGTTTCGGCGTGAGGTCTTAGAGAATTCCGACTCCACTGCTCGGACAGTTTCCACCAACCCATTATTAATTGCGTGAACGGTTTCGCAATCGGTAAGGCACTGGAAGCGATTATGAAGTTGGAGTTGAAAGGCTTCAGGGTTCCGAATCTGAGCGCGGCAAGGACGGAGTGTCGACTTCACCAGACGTGACCTTTCCAGCTTGACATTAATATTCAGTATGCCCTTGACAATTCGGTGATCGCTACCGGTTTTCACTTTAGCAATTACAGAGACATTACTGAATATACGCTTGTCGGTCGCCATAATGAAGTCGATCTCATTTTTGGTTGTCCTATCAGGGCTTATCCAGGTCCACCTCCTGGCCGGTCGCTTTTTGAAGAAGGAGTTCATCAGATAGAGACTCTCCCTCTCCATAAAGTCTACCAGGCGCTTTCCCCGATGATTTCGCTGCCCACGTCCAAATGGCCCCACTTTCAACTCATCGCCATTCCGTATACCGTTGAAGTCTCCCATCACAACCCCGCACACTCCCGTGCACCCTCGCGCACTCGCAAATCGTCTTCATAGTAATCGAAAAGTTTACGTAGGTATTCAAGGAATACATAAATTATACTTTCAATTGTTCCTTACTGCTTGTGTTATAAGATAAATTGCGTGACGTTTGATTACAACGACGAATTATGTTCACAGTAAAGCAACTTTACTTGCACAGTATTTATGACGTGGCACTATACCGCAGCTACTTAAACGTGCAGTAAAAACGATTTATATTTTTTATAATTAGTCGTTAGATCATATTATATGTGTGTACTTCCTAAGCATGGATACAATATAGATAATTTACAGCTTCCATGATAAGTACACCTGACTCTTACGCTACAACTGCTGCTTAAACATAATCACAGGATGGCTATATGCTCTGTAAATAATGATTAACCTCATGTTAGATCTGATTACGTTACTAAACATAAATTCAATATCGCATCAAACTGTCTTTGTAGTAAGTAATCTGAAACCTACGCTTAGGATCAATGCTAAGCATACATGCAGTATCGCGGCATATTGTTTTTAAGACTAGACCACTCATTTAGTAAATATTGGGAAACTGCTTGGGATCAAAACAGTATATCTTCTTAATGTTTATTTGCTAGGCCCAAATTAAATTTTAATAAAGTAAATAACTTAACATATTAGTAGTATAGTAGTCATACTGTACTTATGCTGAGAGACTCAGAACAAGATTTTTTACCGTAAGTGTGCCCACTGTAATAATGCCTTGTGATGTAAAAAAAATGCTCAACTTACTGCAAATTTTTAATTGCTAAATATGAATTAAAAAACGATAGAAATAAATGAGTAAGATGTATACGTAGATCTCGTTCTCGTGATCACGTCTGTATATCTAACTCAATTTTGACAAAAACCCGACTTACTGCAACTATGCTATTGACGGCAGAAGGGTGTGGTACATTGTTGCGTTTACACCTGGAAACCCCACTATAGCCTTTACATCAGACTAACCCTAAGCTGACAACTTTTTGCATAACTTGATTACAATTTTTTTTATTATGATGTATAAACAAATAATGCTATATACAACAAAGAGGTTGATTTTACAGTATATAAGGGTTTATAAAAACAAGTTATAGACGGAAGTTAAAAGGTAAGAAAAAGTGATATAGAAAAAGTTACATAAACCATTAATATTAATCAATAATACATCATCTACAAAAACAACATTCACACATTTTTAACCTTACACTAATATTTACAACTAAAACTTCAGATATTCACCAAATAGAACACACCATTTCTCAATGAATGAATGTGAACAGATTGGTAAATATGTAACACTGACATTGGTGTTCAACACGTTACAATAATGTAAGTATTGAACATATCAAATAGCAAAGGACTATAGTCCTTCTTGTCAATAAAATCCCTAATAACTTATAATAGCTCCTTCATTCCAATACCTGACAGTCATCATCGTCCACAACTCCTCCGTTAATTGCATCATTTACAATTTTGCTTCTGTTCTTCTTCAGTTCGTTATCAATGAAGTTCCTCCTTCCATCCCTAACCCGTAGCTGGGCAACTTTGTCCGGCGGCGGCCGCTCCACTAGACCTTTAGTGAATGTGTAGATAACAATAGTTAGGTCACCCTCAACGAACGCTAGGTTCACTGATGGCCCAGTCTCAACTGTACACAGATTCTCCTGTATTTTGTTAATGAAATCCACGGTGATCTCGTCGTGCGTTGGTATCGGCACATATATGTTTGGTTTCTCGTTACGTCTTGGCCGTGCGACGATGTAAAGAGTATCTATGTCCTTGTTGTAACAATACTCCGTGTCATACATCAGTTTTTGGTCTACTAAGTGTATGTAAAGATTGTAGGCTAAAGATACTTTAAGATCAGACTTGCAGCCTAGCGCCTTCATGTCTCCTTTGACTTTGGTTTCAATATCCATATTTACTGTTTTAGGCGTATAAATTTTACGTATGTAGACTAATCTAGACACAAACACGACACCGCTGTAGTTTTAAAATAATAACTACAGTTTTTAGTAAAATAAGCGGCAAAATGGAGCGGCAGGCGGCATCGGCAAATACTAAACTGACAGTTACGATCGATTGTCAGTCTGTCAGTGTCAAATTGTACTGAGCTACGTTTTATTATCTTTGAACAGTGTTTTGATCAAATTGTGTGAAATAATATATTCTTTGTTATTATATTATTATATTTTTTTTGTATTCTTACCTTCTTCTTAAAAAACCTTAATATTGTGACGAAACCATATGTAAGTACATCATCGTGTCGGTTGTATTTAACTAGATTTTTTATTGATCCAGTCAGTCTCTTTTTGGGCTAGTATTATTTATTTTGTGAGAGCACAATTTATGTAATTGGGTTAGCAATAAAAAATCAATTAATTGGTAATACTTTTATTTATTTAATATAGTTACAATTTCAGTAGTTATTTAATACATAGCGCTTACACAATCATCTATCAAATAAGCGAGATTGCTGTTGTTTGGGTGGGATAGAATGTAAGACAGTGTCTTTGATTTTCCCATTTCATGAAAAATATAGTAAGTAATGTAACGGCATTTTATTACAGTGTGAGGAAACTTAAAAGTAAGAACTTAAGTTATACTAAGAAAATAAATAGTAATTAAGTAACATTGAAATCTTAAAAATATGGTTACAAAACTTCAGTCATATTTACATTAAGATAGAGTTAGCAGGTAGACAAAATTAGTTAGAGTACTTAACAATTACAAATATAAACTACGTAAAAACATTATATTACATAGTTACTCTTAAAGCATGTGGCCACAGACCTTAAAAGTAAAAAGAAGCTAAGCCTACGTTTCTGTCAATAGAAATAATTACTCAGGTGGAACCAAGTAAAGAGCCTCTCAAAATACTATTTACAAGATTTCACCGCACCGAATACCTAATCCACACAAAAATACTAATAAATATCTCAAAGAAGAAAACAATTTTCTGTTGATCCGACTACTCGAGAGAACTTTCTCAAGTCAATGTTCTTTCACAAATTCACTACTTTGAACACAAGTCTTTAGCACCATGTTTACAGATCACTTGAAACTTATAGAATGTCTTTGCTAGTTTTGATGCATTTTCCTCTAAAGCATATTTCTGTTTCATGTGACACTTCTGTGGACATAGAAGTGCTTACTACATTGGCCGGATTCATAAACGAGGAGACAGACGAACTTTCTACCTTGACTACTGATATTTCAGTGACGTCACCGGTACTTTCTGTCTGGCTATCTCCTGTGCTATTTAACTTTTTGATTTCGGGGAAAGCTGTAACAGCCTCAGTGTTTTCATCACTCAATGAAGCTGCAGTCATTTCTTCGGGTATGAATGAACTTTCTGTTGTAACAATTTTAAGTTTAGGAGCTTCGGTTTGTATTTCACTTTCAATTGTTTTTACAGTCTCCTCACCATCGATTTGTTTATTGCTATCCTCGGCAGTTGTTCCAAACAAATAATCCATGAAACTAAATCCAGCGTCATGTCTATTAACTGTAATTGGTTTGCTTGTGGTAGTCGGCTCGGCTGGAGTAGTTAAATAAAGATCGTCAATTGTCGGGTCAGGTGAGCCTGTTCCTAAATCTAAGTCTCCTGGACTAATAGCTGATTCAGTTTGCGTTTCCTTTTCTAGGTAAACTGTTGTCTGCTTACTTTCTTCTGTAATAAGGGTTTCTTCATTTTCTTGAGATTTGTTTGTAAGTTTAGGTATGTCTATTGTAGGTAAAACATCAATATTTGTTGCTTCATCGTCACTGGAGAAAAGATCCTTAATGAAATCATAACTTGGTTTATAAGTAGTAACTTTGGGCTTTTCAACCTTTTCTACTTTCTCATGAAAGTTTTTCGAAATCTTCACTGGTTCTCCAAGGCGGTTGACGGTGTGGCTATAGTACTGCGATTCAGCAAACTCAATAGATTCGGTTGTCGCAGGACGCACTTTGACTTTCTTCCAGAATCCACGGCGTCGGTTCTTGCGTTCACTGTCATCCTAAAAGTACAAAGATTAATATTAACACACAGTAATGTAAAGACTACTGTTTTGGGTACTAGTATAGACTGATTTTGAAATTCTCTTTAATTGTTTACAGAGTTCGAATATAACTTCGCTATTATAACACGGGAATAAATGACAAAACTGGTTATACATACGTCAGTATTTTTACTCGACAAGACTTGTTATTTTTGAATCGATATTTACCTCAGCAATAAGAGATGATTCCTCAGCCGTAGTTTGATCAGTCGTGGTTTCTTGTATTGCCACAGTCGACTTCTGTGCGTAGGTGTCTCCTGAAGATATAATTCTCTCCGGCGGAATTTCACCAATTTCACCGCCTTTGTGTTTCATCACATTCGAGTTGTATTCATCTTTGTCTTGCTCTTCTAAACTCTTCATTACTTCTTCTAACATACTTTCAAAAGTAGACATTGTGTCTGTGGAATCGCTCTTTGTTACTTTACTTTGTTCTACCAATGCTTCTAAGGTTGGAGGTATCTCAGGAATTTTCTTATTAACCCTGTTGTTACTAGCGGGAGTTACAGTAAGTAAAATGTCTTCAAATTCATTCCTGGCTGTAATGATATCCATTTCACTTTCCTTGTCGGATCGCCGTTCGGTAGTTGCTACTTTTTGTTCATCCACGATATCGTTCGGGTTGTATGGTTTGAAGGAATCGCTTGAAATTTTCGGTGACCATTGATCTGTTTCAGGTTCCGCATACTTCGGTCTGTTGATAGAGTAGTTAGAATCTTGATCTTCTATTTCTTCGCTTTCAGGTTTTTTGTTGTATCTTTCCGATAGTCTAGGTCTGTGATTGTATCTGGCGTGAAGCTGGGGTCTAGTGGTAGAGGTGGGTGCTTCTGTTTGTACATCAGGTTTGTCTGTGGGTTTTTCAGTAGGTCTTCGTCCCCTGAATCTGTTCTTAACTTCATAAATACGTTTCGTGCTGGGCGCTTCGGTCGATGTAGTTGTGTAAGAGTAAGTTGGCCTTCTTCGACGGAAGTGACCACGTTTTGTGGTACTTTCGGTTGTTGATGGTGAAGTTTCTGCAGGTTCTGTTGAAGGTTCGGGCCTGTAGACAGGATGTCTTACATCTTGCGCATCTTGCCTAGTGTGTACTTGCTTTGTTTTTAGGTCAGCCTCGATTTCATCGATTCTCATAGTTGTACGTCTGCCGTTAAAGGCTGGTCTGTAAGTAACTGGCTGAGCAGGTCTCCTACGTTCCTTATTTCTCGATGACTCAGTTGACGCTTGATGGTATTGTCTGATGACTCCGGGACGTACACGCACTCGGTTATATGATGGTGTAGTTTGCACGATATTCTCTTCATCTTCGCTCTCCTGGTGGTCTTGCGTGTCTACTTTGATGTCTTCAGTTTCAGGAGCAGCAGTAGTTTCTTCTTGGTTATTTGTAGAGAATTCATTACCAACTGAATAACTTATGCTCTGTTCTGTAACAGGAATGTTTGGAGCTTCGGTTGCGTAAGAACTAATTTCGGCGTATTCTTCTTTCGATACAGGGGTTGTTTGCATGACATAGATATCTTCTTCTTTTTCTGGACTCGTTTCGTCAAAGGCAGATGACTCTACTGGAGCACTGCTGCTTCTAGACTGATAATAGTATTCTTGGCGGGTCGATGGCAAATTCGGCACATAAGAAGTTTCTGTCTGCAAAGTACTTCTTGCAGTAAATGTTGGTAAAACAGGCTCTTCGTTCGATTCACTGTTTGAGAAGTGTTGAGTTATAGACACTTTTTCGTTTGTGTAAGCATTTTCCGTGTCATTTTCTGTAATTGGTTCCTCATTTTTTTCAGATGTGTGCTTAGGCGTAGGTTCAGTGATTGCTTCAATATCTACAGTACTCATACGCTCCATTAGTGTTACTGGATAATTCTGGTGTAGGACGTCTCTTTGGTAGGCTAGATCTTCTTCCTTGCTGTTGTGAGTTTTTACTCTTCTATCGTAAATATCTTCTAAATTCTCTGAAGGTTTGTAATGAATACGCCCTCTAGTTCTTGTTCTGGAAGATTTGGTTGTACTTTCATTTGAGTCTAGAGGCTTTTTGTTTGGCTTCTCAGTAGTGATTTTGTTAGGTTCGTATCGAGGTCTAGTAGGTAGAGGCCTTCTTTCTCTCAAAGGTCGTCTCGTTACAACTACCCTAGTGGTAGACTCATATGATTCACTTCGAGGAGTAGTGGTGTATCGTGGGCGACCTCTGTTTCTCTGTGGAGTTCTGCGCGTAGTAGTGCTTGTTGTTGTTGATGAAGACGTGGGATTACCTTCTGTGGCCTCGTATTCTGTATGATACACATTGTACTCGTCACTGCTGTACTTAGGAGGAGTATTGATATCAGAAATGGTTGGAAGATTGTTGACATCCGATGTCTGTTCTGCTGGAGTGTTTTGTTCAGCAGAGTGCTGATGTTCAATATTTTGATTATACTCGGTTTTGTATGTATTGACTTGAGTATTGACATCTGTATTATAATTGTTGTTGTTAGCTGGTGTATTGTAATTGTCCCTATTACTATCAGTGTTGTAATTATTTGTTTGCACATCATATTGATTTGCCTCTGGGGTATTGTAATTGTTTCTGTCTGGCACACGATCTTCTGTATTATAATTGTTTCTGTCTGGCACACGATCTTCTGTATTATAATTGTTTCTAACTGGCGTCGAAACATCTTGGTTGTAGTTATTGACTGGGTTATTATTATCGGTGTTAACAGGATTATTGGGTTGTGTTTGTTGAGCATTTAGCTCAGATTTAGCAATATAGTCAGTCGGATTGAAGACAGGGTATTTCAGGCTCGGATCAGAATCGTAATGTATTTCTGGAGTGTAGTTCTGTAAGTAGTTTGGAGATGATTGCTGATTATATTTTGGTTTTTGGGTAATTACTTGTTCTGGTTGTGGTACTGTACTCGGAGTTGTTCCTGGAGTTGGTGTTTGTGATGGTACCGGTGTCGGGGAAGGCGATGGTGACGGTGACGAAATTCCGATAGCACCAGGAGTAGGGTAAGGTTGTTTCACGTCGTCAAAGTAGTTGTGGTAGTCCAACGGAGTACTGAAGTGGAACGCTTGGTTGATTGAGTAAGGGTTGTGAGTTTCAAGTAGTTGACTCGGGTAGGTCGAAGGAGGCTTTGTTGTGGTTGTAGTTGTTGTGGTCGTTCTAAGTGTCGTCGTAGTGGTTGGTTTTCTCTGGAAGTGGTACTGATCAACAATTTCCGAAGATTTGAAATTGTTCTGGGGTGAGAAGTTTGCAAACTCTTGTGAGTTGTATTGAGGAGCTGTGTTACTAATAAAGTATGATCCAGTTTTTGGTGGAGATGTCACAGTCTCTTGTTGTTTAGGTGGTCGAATGGTTGAAACCGTTTGCGGCTCAAACGAGTAGTAGTTAGATTGGTAATTAGGTACCGGTTTAGCCTTAGGTGCAGCTGTACTGTAATAGCTAAACGTTGGTTTTTGTGTAACAGGTTTCTCTGGTTTATAGGTGGGCTGAGTTACTGCATAAAAGTTTTGATTATGTAAAGGCTGCGATGGCGCCAGTGTTTGTGGCGATTCTCGTATTTGAGAATTTATAACGACTGAACCCACGTGTGGAGATGGGAATGGAATTTTAGCGAATCCGTTTGGCGTGTTGTAGCTCAAGGGTGCAACAAAGAATGGCAATTGTTTCAGTTTCTTATCGCTGTTTTCGATGTTTGACAAATAGGGCAACTCGAATTTGACAAAATTATCTGGTGGTGGTAAAGTAGATGGCCCGATGAACACTTTGGGTGCATTCAGTGGGTTAACTGAATCCAACACGGCGATAGTGTCTGCATTCTTCAAAGAAGATAGAACATCTCCAACTTTAACTTGACTGTTCTTGCTAACATCTTTTATCATGAATATAGCCAGTGGTGGTTGGTGGGGTTTCAGCTTCTTCGGCTTTGGAGTCGTAGGGGGTTGCGTCGGGAAAGGAGTAGTGATGGTCGAGAACTTTGGAACTTGATCGTCTTTAAATTGAGAGTTGAACTCCGAAAAGTAATTTTGACCGGACAAGGGGTCTAGCGGTTTGGCAACTGGTCTCTGGTAGTCATTTATGAACGTTTGTTTGAGTGCGTTAGGACGGGAGCCGGCTCCAGAATAAAGCTCCGTGTTAACTAGCTGCGAAGTTGTCAAAGGACTGCGGAAGTTAAACTGTCCTCTGTTCAGCGACTCTAATGGAACGTATAACAGCTGAACTTCTTCTCTCTCGTTCTTCGAATGCTGCGACAGTGATTCTGGTTTTAATGGTTTATCAATTGTATCAAACTTGATTTTCTGTAGTGACTGTGGTTTCTTCATTACATTAAAAGCGCTGCTAGCATTTTCTGCTCGGTATCCATCAACCAGTCTCGGTAATTCCTGTTTTGTTTTCTGGCCTTGATTTAGAAAAGGTTTTGTTTGAACAGAAGCGGGCAACGCTTGGTTGAAACTGACCGGGTTAAGTATGGGTTGTGGTCTAGCTTTCTGTTGCTGAACAGAATCGAAACCAAATGGAGGAGCTACAAATCCTTGGCTCAGTGGGAAATTAGGCTGAGACAAGCCAAACCGAATGCCTTGACCAAAACCTTGGTCCGTTAGATAATTCTGTGGAGCAGACGGCACTGACTGTAAGTAGAGCTGTCTGTTGGCACCGGCATTGTAATAATTTCTTGCTGGGAAGGTGTCTTGGCTAAAGCCGGTGGGTCTCACAAGGCCTGGGAATGGTTCAGTTAATATCCTCGGTTCTGCGACAGCTTGTCTTTTGATTTGAGGCGGTGGTGCTGGTTCTCCTCTCTCGACGGGGCCGGACAGAGGCACCCAGTCGCTGATGTCTGAGGTGTATGTGCTGATCTGACGGGACCATCTCGTCTGTTCTTTTTTTGTTGCAGTCGCCGCGGCGAGGAGTGTCACGAGGCAGGCCAAGCGGTGCACGGTGCGGTGCGCCATCTGGAAACAAAACGCACACTTCGTAAGCATTGTGTAGTAATACAATATAAATGTGATTATATATTTATTTATTATGAAACCAGTGAGTAATCGGCGCTGCAATTCATACGACTGAAAGACAGATTATATTATATCCTCGAGTACAAAAGTAATTTGTGCGGGTCAAGACGATTGTACAGCCTGGGACTTTTTGCAAACAATACGTTACATAGAACACTTGATAAGAAGATATTGCGCAATGTAATGAGAGAAAAGTTTCGCAACAAACAAACATTAGCCGCTAATGGATGTCATTCGATAGGATCTTTTGACACAATTTGGTTGAAGTATTATGTATATGATGAATCAACATTCAATTGGCAGTTGACCGCTTAAAGCTAATGTTGAAGTCTCTTGACATTTGTATTCAGAAGAGTTTATTGATTAATTTCATTATATAGATATCTTGGAATCGTTCTCATGGCATCTTCAGGCTACTCATGCTTTCGTAAATAGCGATAAGTGTGGTTCAAATGTACCAATTCAACCTCCCAAATATGTATTTTATTACTTTGACTTACAGCTGTACCTACTCGTGTTTTAAGAAACTGTCATACGCACGATTACCACAGCGCATTAAAATTGCTAAGAAAACATTGTCCAACTGCTTTACGACCTTTAACTAATTACGCGTTGAGGTTAGTCTATGGCTTGCATATTGGGTCGTTTAGCTGGTCATGTAGTAGGCACGTAGCCTTAGGCCATAGACCAAGTCCCATGCAAAACATGTGTGAATCTTGTCTTGCGTAACGTGATCTATGTTACATATTCCATGGTGCGAGCTCTCGTAATATTGACGCAACAATAGCCCTTGCTTTATCTGATACACTTAAGACATAACGATTTTTTTTTTATAATTTTCTATTGTTATGAAGTTCGTGCAAGTGTGACAAGTTACACATTCAAATGTGCACGCATTTGAATGTGTAACCAAGCGCGGATCTAGCCCTCAAAAAAGGTTGTGGTCACAGCTACTAGAAAATCGGCTAAGTACGAGTCGGAGCATGGGCATGCTCATTAACAATCATGCAAATCGTTTATGAACTTATGAATTAGATTTCCTTTTTTCTGAGCATCAGGACTTTGGCCTTAGGAATGTAAATAAACTTAGGAAGAAGTCGGACACAATTTCTTCTAATTTCTAATAGTCAGTTTCGATCCAAACCTATTTCAATCACAAGTGTATTAAGGTTGTGGGCATGCCCATCGTGCCCACAACGGTGGATCCGCCCTTGTGTGTAACTTGTGGCTAAATTCACACTCGTTTCGTGATTGGTCAATGGATAATATCTCAATCGTGAATTTTAAAATTTTTTAGTGGTGTCCCAGATTTTATTTGGGAATGTATCAACGTGTGCCTAAAGCATTTTTTTTACATACGGCACTAGGATTTTCTCCTGTGTCGTGGGTGCGTTTACGGGCGAAGCCGCTGGCAAAATCTAGTTTTACGTAATACGTTACCTATTACAGTAACAAGACATATTAAATAACAATTTCATTTAAAAACCTCACACCGTGAAAATTTCATAACCAAGTAAGTGCGTTAGTCTTACAAATAATTTAAATATATGAATACTTATTACTTAATGATAAAGTCGTTAAACTTTTGTTTTATATGTATATACTTATAACGTGGTATCTATGTTAAAATCATTTATAAAAAGTTATGTGTGGTTGTTTGTGTAATAGTTAACCGCTGGCTTTTTAGGGATTTATTGTGTTGTAGACTATGCCAGTAGCCAGTATTATATAATAATAGTTTGGGAAGGGTAACCGAAAGTCTGCATTTATTTATGTCTGTAAGCCTACGTCTTGCAATATTCAGGTAGTATTTATAGTACTCAGGTTATTGATAACGAACTTAATTACATAAGTACCAAAACTACTTCGGTACCTAATTGTGTAAAACTATTTAAACCAATAATAACAATTATTATTGGTTTGAAATTAACGATTTTCGAATTTAAAAAACCGATACGAATTACCTCGTTTACAGTGAAACATCTCGCGGATATCCGTATGATTTCCCAACATAATACATTAATCTAATATCTTCAGTTATACTTAGGGGAAACTCACTTGATTGCTTTTGTGGAGCTTGTTATAAGCGGTAGCGTTTTGAGTTCGAGGAGATATTTGACTGAATGTGACTCCTATTGACTCTAGTCGGCTGCGAGCCGCGAAGTGCACCTTGCTCATGAATTAGAGTCCCGATGTGACTTGAAACTAGTAGGTAGAGCTTTTCTCATTTAATTTTCGAGAGTAAGTCGTTATTATAATTTGTATGTCTCACGATAGTTACTGGATATATAAAAGTATTTATAGATAGGTTTGTAATGTATTAAGTTAATTTTCGTTGTCATGTGGAGATAATTCATTGTCCTAGAACCCATGCCATAATCCTCGACTTCGACTTTATTGGGCGGAGTTGTATTGATGTTCTTAATTCCACCTTAAGTTGACACATAATTTACTATTATTAGTGTATTTATGATTCAGGAAAAGCGGTTAACGATCCATTGGTATATTTATTGGTAAAAAGTTGAAATAAGTAATTAAGATTATTATTTTCCCATGGAAATTGTGAAAAGTCGGTTTTTAGGAGCACAGTCGTACATATAACTTTACAATGGGAGAGGTTTTAAGACTTCTAATGTGACATAAAAATCATTATCAGACTTAGTATGTCTCATAATAGTTTTTATACAAAAATATTTTCTTCATTGTTATAGCAAAATAACAAGTTTACTTACTAAAAAGCTCGATCGAAACGTTTATGACGTGCAGCACCCTGATTGGCTACCTTCAATTTAGGCAACCAATCAGAGGGCTAGACGCGGTGACGTTTTGACTGCGTTAAATTCAAAATAGGATGCATTAGGCACTCGCTCTTACCGTGTAACTTGGACCACAGTATACTAAATCTAACGTTGGTAATTGAACGTGTTTCATTGTAGCTAATGTTTATAATTTACTTTCTTCTCGATGCTAATTGGTACTTATACGTATGTTATGTTATGTCTACTAGAAAGTGCGTCTGTTCGTCCGTGTGTCCGTTCTCTTGTAACAACGGTTTGGACAAAACACGTGAAAGTCATTGTGGTATTTCTAAGGGCTTGGTTGACGTTGCGGAACGTTTTGTTAGGTACCTAGTTGAAGTGTATGGTGCTGTTGAAAATACGATAACACTTGTATTTTTTTTGTATCCGTACAGTTTTCTTACACGACACTTTGAACAAAGTTCGCAAGTTACAAATTAAAAACAAATGACACGTCAATGACGTCAGAACCGAAATGACAAGGACGGAAATATATTGTGTTTCCTTCTAAATTCAAACTATTCCCGGTGTTAGAACAAATCCAAAATAAAAACAAATGACACGTCAATGACGTCAGACCCGAAATGACAAGGACAGAAATATATCGCGTTATCCTTGTTAATTCAAATTATTGTCGCCTGTGATTGTCGCCGTTAAAGTAATCAAAATAAAAACAATCAATGACAAGTCAATAACGTCAGAACCGAAATAACAAGGACGGAAATATATCCTTAGTTTAAATTTTACCGCCATTAATGTAGAGTTCCATGTTTGGTCGTAACGATAGTTATACACATATAGGCTTTTCCACATATACAAACTCCATTCTAAGAATGTGGACTACGTTGCAGCCAAATTAGTTTCAGTTATTCAACATTAACTCAGAAAAATAAAATACCTGGATATCTGCGGGAGCCGCTAATATGAAAGTATATATTAAAATTTGTTACTCTTTTACGTAAAAAACTACTAAACAGATCCGAATGAAGATTGTCATAGGGAAAGGTAATAGTTAGGAATTAAACATAAGATATTTGTATTCTGGTACTCTTAGCATAGCAGCTGGCAGAAGCCAGTGAACTAAAATATTTTCAATAATTTCTATAATTATGTATATTTGGCATATATGGTAACTGGTGTTAACTTAATTTACAGGCTACCAAAACGCACGTAAAACCTGAACACGATAGAAAGCTGGAAGGAAATTAATAGATCAGGTAATTTGTATTTCGATAATAAATCAGAGCTAGTAGGAAGCGAGGCCATTAAGATGTTAATGAAGCAATTATTATATCGCTACCTGTATGTGTAAGGTGCTCCTTATAATTGAAGATAGTGTGAGTTCCCATGTATTTAAGTGTGGCACGAATGGGTCGGCTCGAATGGAGTAATACCACGGCCTCACAGAATACCGGCATGAAACAACCCAGCGTTGTGTTTCACAGTGTGATTGAGGTTACCAGAGGCCCAATCTCTCCCCTTCCCCTATCTCTTGCCGATCCTTTTATCCACTAGCCCTATTCCCAAAAGTCTATCAACGCACTCGTAACTCGTTTGGTGCTGTGGGTGTCCATGGGCGGCGCTGATTGCTTACCATCAGGTAATCCGTGTGCTCGTTTGTCGACGTATACAATAAAAAAACAGCTCACATGTGTGAAGATCGTTAAGTGTGAATATGTATGTAGCTGTGATATAAGACTAAAGATGATTGTCATTTATTGGACTGTAAGCCTTCTATGCTATGTGATAAGATGGTAAATGACATGACGGATTGTCTGATGGTAATAATATCAACCACCCATGGATACCCGCAATAGGTACCTAATAGAGAAGTTATGAAAGCGTTGTTGGACTTTTACGGGTCAAGTTTTCGGAGATTTAGGGATTGGGCAGGGATAGGTAAGGAGAAAGATTGGGCCTTCGGTTTTTCTTTAATTGCTATATCAAAAAGAATCTGGTTGAGTTTACGTTTTTTTTTAATTTCTCTTTTCATTTGTATGTATAGTGGTTCCAGTCGCCGGACGAAATTTACTTATTTTTTTTCTGATCTAGGGTTTTCGACCGCTTTTCTACTGAACCTCATTTTAATTAGACGTTTCTCAGACAAATTAATGCATAGGTGCAGTCACTAATATCATGAATTCAGACTTCTATATAATTAATTGTTGTAATATCCTGTAATTAAATAACTTCAGACGTGGGATTAGAAACTTTGAATCCGGGATTTAAAGATATTTATTTATTTATACAAAACATGTACAGACGGACGTTTATGTAGATATATATTGAACTGCTTTAGTGGATACTGCCAATATATCACGATGAAATGGAAAGATTTTTCATTTATTTTTTATTTATGTAAACGCATGAATATGTATGTAGGTAGGTATTTCTACTTATTCATAACGTAACTAAATATGATGTATTAGCTTCCGCCCGCGGCTCCGCACGCTTATGAGAGTAATGTATCCCGGGATTTTTTAAAACAGCAGCGTTTAAAGCTATAGCTCGTCTATACGTAAATCTAGTATAATTTATAGCCTATGGAACATTGTAGCTATCTACCAGTGAAAGAATTTTGGAAATCCGACCAGCGGTCCCAAAGATTACGCCCTACATATGGACTTACAAATTGCACCTCTTTATAATATAAGTATCGAAGTTTTTTTTAAAAAAGTGGCCCCACACTCGGATTATCTCCTGTGTCGTGGATGCGGTTACAAACATACAATTTCATATACACATCACACCCAGACCCGGAACAACAATTTGTGGATCACACAAAGAGTTGTTCTGTGCGGGAATCGAACCCTCGACACGTTGCACGGCAGCCAGTTGCCCAGCCACCGCACCAACCGTGCAGTCAGAAGTATAGATTGATAACCCTCCAATCACGTAAACCGGTTAATCACGATTTGTAGATTTCACTTACCTATCAATTTGATCTTCGTAACTTACTGTCAAAATTAAAAGTAATACTTATTCTCTGTATTTTGTAGGGAATTGTGCGTTATGACGTCCATTTTTAGGTGTTCAACAATCACATTCATTGCTTAAGTTTGATATAATAATACGGGTTTTAAGAAGTTATAACTTAAAATTAATTAGTATTTGGACTTTAGCCAATAGATATTGTTTACTCGCGATATTTCCCCACCACCAATTGTTTGGCCAACCATCCAACATCCAACTTCCAACACGCGTCGATGACACGGCAAGCATTGTCACCACTGATAGCCCTACCATTATATATATTGGTTGTTCAGTGAAAGTCGGCGGTTTCTCATAATGACCGTTTCACCACAGCTTCGGAGAGGAAAAGTTTAGTTTTATAGTTTTACTTGCAAAACTAATATAATATGGTGACTTAAATTATACCTGTGCTTTATTATCTGTGGTAATGATATGGGGAGACTGTCCATTTCTGCGTACCGTGTTCTCTGGAGCTCAGAGATCTTAAGAATCGTCTTGTTGACTCTTGATATATGTGATTATGTTTCGCAATTGATCTATGTAGTAGTACAGTAATGACATTTCGAATTATATTAATGATCTGCTTCATATCTTTAGCGAATAGGTGGTATATCTTAGATGGCCGGTGAAAAAGATTGAATGCTGCAATAGCATGATACATGCATATTGCGCTTTAATACACGTAGTATTAAAGTTCAATATGTTTTGAAATTAAGCACATGGCATGCAAATATAGTGTAATAAAAATGATTTTTAAAAATATATTTAACCTATGACTTCAATACTTTACTTAATACTATAAAATGCCTCGTTTGGCCTCCATGGCCACCAGAGGAGTTGTAAGAGTGTTGCCGGCTTTGGTGGTTTTGGGGATTTAGGGATCAGATATAGATTGGGGTAGGGGAAGTAGGTATAGGGCCTCAGGTCCTTTCAGGCTGGTTTTCTGTAATGCCGTGGTATGACTTCGATTGCAGTAGTCCATGACCAATATTAACCAATGTTTTGATTAAAAAAAACTTTGTCATAACAATCATAACATCAAACATACAATTTTAACAAACACATGACACTCAGACCCGGATCAACAATTTACGGATCACATAAAGAGTTGTTTTGTGCGGGAAACGATCCCCGCGACAGGTTACCCAGCCATCGCGCCGACCGTACCTATCATCTAAACTAACTACTGTTTTATCAGCAACCGTACTTAGGTAATATTATTTTCAATGTTTAAGACAAAACTGATACACTACCTGCTCTAAAAGAGGGCTGTGTTATGATTGCAGTCATAGGCTATGTGCAAAGCGAGCAGCAGCGGACAGATAACGACCGCAGCGCACAACACGGCAGAAATTGGAAACAAATGCGGATAATCAGCTGTCGGTTTTTATTAATATATTAATTTTACAGTAAAACTATTGAATAAATTGCACTTAAATAATGTCAAAATGCTATTTTAATCTTTGGTTTTATTTATATTTGCAAAGATAATTATAATGTTTACATTGTTATTATTTGACAGCTTCCGCAAATTTTGTAAACGCTACGCGTCGCCACCGTCGCCCAAATAGCCAATTATTACCCCTCAATGGTTGTATGCACATTCGCCATCGACCCCCGTAGTATTGCAGTTGCAGCGCATCTAGATACGGAATGCAGTTGTTTCCCATTTGTCAACAGTTCGTTCACTCGTGGTGCATGCAATCGCGACTAATAGATGTTGCGTTTCAGATTATATATGCGTTTTCTTGTGCACGCCGCCTTGTATCCGGCTGTGCAAGTGAGGCGCGAGGAAATTGGACACTCACTTGTCTGTGAGTCAAGCTAATAGACGTATGACTAAAGGAATTTGTTCTTAAAATGTAAGTATGTAGACCATTTGAAGAATTGATTTAAAAATGACGGGTCTAGTGAAGTCGAACAGTGAGTAATTTAACTTTACGGTTGGTCAACTCTACGGTAACTAACTAACTTTACGGTAGGGAACAACTCTTTGTGTGATCTACAAATTGTTGTTTCGAGTCTGGGTGTGATGTGTATGTGAATTTGTATGTTCGTTACCCACTATATACTGTATACTTATATATACCAAGAGTATATTAAAGATAGAGCAGTGTATTAGACTTCGCAGACAACTCTCTTTAAAAAACTTAAGTACTT